AGATGGACCAGAGTTACAAACGCAGCTCTGGAGTCTAAGATGTGTGTGTTTGTGTATTTAACTTTAATTTCAGTCGCACAACAACATTTGCGTCAATTACATCTTTTATCACTTACACGTGTTTTCAACTCCTCTGCGGAATACAACCTCGTTACGAGCTTCTTGAAAATATCGCAGATATAGTTGATTGTTGCGTGTGAACGTTTGGCACCCGGCGTCATGAAGTAGATTTCAAGTTAATCACATTGAACAGCTCTGACTTTGTCTAATTACATGTTGCTCAATCCGGAGCAGAGTTAATGAGTTTAAAATGACATGTGACGCACCAGGCACGACCGAGAGCTGCGGTGTGTCACCTCGGTCTCTGGCCGGGACTCGCTCCCGGAGGCCAAACACTAATGGAACACTAATCGCTTTCAACGCGGCTGCGTCTCCCGCCTCGTCACTGTTTCTGCCATCAGCACCGCCTCGCTGACAAGCTCCCTCTGAGGTGAGAGCCGCTCGTAAAACACAGCCAGCGGCTCGGAGTCCGCCGAGCTCCGGGGCTGTCGTCGCGGCTCCTAATGAATCCTCGGGTCTGTGCAGGAGCAGAGCCGGGCCGGAGGAGCGTGTTTGCCACGAGGAGAACGTCATGGCTCGCTGAAGAAAGAGCGCAATTATACCCGTTTCCAGCGGTAGCCATTTAAGAACAGGCCTCCTGTCGCTCCAGGGTTTTAATGACGCCGGGAGAACAAGTGGCAATTTAGAAGGACTCACCATAATCTCCTCAGTGTGGGGCTGGCACCCTCCAAATTTAAACTGCAGTGTGGAGGGATTACGGAGGGTGTGGGCGACAAACACAGACAAATGGTCAGAATCCAGCAGCTGGTTTTATCTCCTGAGAAAAGAAAAGGCTTCAGTTTTATGACAGGACGCGTTTAAAAAGACACAGAGACGTGTTTTCATGTTTGAACATCGTTGTGGTTTTAAACGTGCATTCTCATTTTTATCAAACATATTGTTAGTTACTAGTTTTATGGTGTTTTTCTACATATGTAAGACACTTTGTGATGTTTCTAACACGCGACAGACGCAAAAATAAAATGAATTCGAACATCTCGGGATGAAAAAGAGGAGCCATGCAACTTAAAGACGCAGGTGAAGATTGTCAACATGGAAAGACTTGAACGTTTAGGTGATAAGAGCCGACGTCGGTGTTGTTGTTGAATAAAAAAACGTGATTTCCGCAGCAGAATTTCTACGTCACGTTCTGCCTCCTGTTGCTTGACTCAGGCTCCTCCCCTCAACTGAATGTTTTACGACAAACTTGTTCGGACCCAAATGTCCAAAAGTTTTTTCCTTGCGTGTGACACTGTGAAGAGGGGACAGGTGAGCGTGTGTGTGTTGAAGTTGGTGCACATGTGAGTGTGTGTGTGTCTGCACGGGGCTTCAGCAATAACTTTGTATGTTACATGACCTTCACATGTGTCGCTGTGTGTTGTTTAAATGCCTTCACGTGTGTTAGTCACCCCCAGACCCACCTGAGCACGTGGTATGTTCCACTCCAGCCGAGTTGAGATTTGTTTCCTGGTGTTTTTAAGCTGAACTTTTATAAAATATCTTGTGATTAGAGACACCGTGTTTTCTTTTCTTTTTCGTTTTGCTGGTTGAGTGACTCTGTGTGAGAAGTGTGGAACTGACTGAGAGTCTCAGCTTCAACTGCCACAGTCAGCTCCAGACAGTGAAGCTGAACTGAGATCAGTTCAAAACACTGAGAAGTTATTAACAACCTGAGTTTATCTCCAATATATTGAGCAGGAAACTTTTAAACAGAGTTGTTAAAGCAGCAGATCCTCTGGTTCATGTAATATTCAGCGTTCAGTCATTTATTTTTATCTCCTACACGAAAAATCAAAAACAGCACCAAATCGAATTATAGCAAATAAAACATTCCATTCTACTTTAAATTAAACCAGAGAGATGAACTCGACCTTCATGACACGTTTGTGGAACTAAACCTAAGAAGAGCTCGGGGACGTTAGGTTTTAGTTTTGTGTGGTTTCAGGAGGTTGGTTAACAGACCTGTCATCATCCTGCTGCAGCAGCAGACTGATTGGATGGGAGGGTTTTGTGTCAGTGTTTGCTCTGGTTAATGAGCGGAAGGAAGGTGAGTCAATACAATACACACACTGTCAGGGGCGTGTGTGTGTGTGTGTGTGTGTGTGTGTGTGTGTGTGTGTGTGTGTGTGTGTGTGTGTGTGTGTGTGTGTGGCGTTAAGGGTGACTGCATTAAGCCTCACATCCCACGTCAGGCTAATTAGTAGTCGTTTTTTTAAATAAACACACGGCTAACAGCGGAGGAATCTAACCTGTGGAATGACGGAGGGCAGGAACGCTCCATCCATCACTGACCGGGAGCAGAACCGACACACGCATGAGCGGGAACTCACATTTTTCTTGGTCAAGGCCTGAAAATGAAAATGAAAGACGTCCTCTGCATAATAAGAAACTCAACTCAGCCCGAGGAAGATGTTCAGGAGGAACTGAAGGTTTGAAATGAAAACTTTGTGCTTTTTAATTTGTACTTTGTTTATAGTGGATGTATTTGAGTGGAGTCTACCCCCCCCCCCCCTTCATATACACACACACACATAAATAATCAATGTTCATAAACAGCTCATGATATTACATATGAAGGAGTTTGAGAATGTCACAGAGACAAACTTCCCATGAGGAGGCTACAAAGACAAACATTTCAGAGTTCCCCAGCATGCCTCAGTAACTCTGTGAGAAACCCCCCCCCCCCTCGCCATGAACTTTGAGAGCCCTGGGAGAGTCGGGGGGGGGGGGTAGATAGAGGAGTGGTTGGGTGGGCAGCTTGGAGAATGTAGAAATTGACTTCTAAACAGATGCAGTAATTCCATTTCCCCCCTTTTAAATTTGGTATGCAGGGGGCCAGCGTGTAACTCTACACCCACTATCGCCGCCGCTCACAGGAGGCGGGAGGCGTAGTCGGCAGTTGGTGGCTGGGCCCGCCGACTCTATCAGCCTTGTTAATCAATACGGGTTCCACTCCGATAGACAGCGATTGGTGCAACCGATGCTCGGCCTGTTATTCTCCTCGCCGCGGGCAGGAGGAGAGGGAGGCGCCTTTTTCCTCAGACTTTCCCCCGTGGGGGGTCACAGCTCGGCTGGAGGCGGGCCCTGCCCAGCGTGAGGCCTCGGGATCGGGCCCAGAACGTACCGGCACTGGCACACATGTCTGAGGCGTGTCGTTCCAACGTGAGGAAAATGTCCCACCTGCTCTGACAGGACACGTTGCTGCTGTGAGAGTAAAACTAAATGCTGGACACTTTAATAAAATGAGCTTCACTGAGAGAAACTATTAATGTTTCACCTTTTTTATTTTGTTTCACGTTATTCGTTCAACATTTCCATTCCGTTATAGGGAAGTGTCTCTTTTACCCCGAGATGACGGCGTTTGAATGAGCTAACACGAGCATCCTTCGGCAAATATGGAGTTTGCAGCTAATTAGTTGTGATAAAACCTGTGGATTGTGAAGACGTCTGTGCCTCAGCTCCATTTGAAGCTGATGAATCCAATGAGAGGTGTGAATGACTTTAATTAGTGCTATCACAATTCTGCATCTGCCTGTATCAGTTTATTCTCTTTGGGCTGAGCTCGGACACTGTTTACACACACACACACACACACACACACACACGCTGTCTTGTTTGTTGGGCCTGGTGGTGCGTTGCAGTAATCGCCGGCTCAGCAGGCTCTGAGTGAAACATTGGCACCAGCGTTAATATAAACAGCCCCCTCCCTTTAGTCCAAGACAACCCCCCGCTGTGGGCTAACAAGACCACATTAAACTCCCTTACCACACACACACACACACACACACTCCCCCTGTATGTTCTCAGACATACTCTCACACTGTCTTACATCAGCATGTTTCCCCTCATTCCTTCACACGGCCGTCGAACCGAGGCCGCACGACCACGCTCACAGGGAATTGACGGTCACTCACTCCAGCGGAGGGTGATTGACGGACGGCGTCAGACCTTCATTGTGTGGCTGTCAGAGCCACCTTTGTGATTTCACGTGAGCCCATGTGAACGTACAGCAGGAGAAGTCAAACACACGACACTAAAGTGAGGAGAGAAACGTTCTCCTGCTGCGTTCATGACAAAGTACAGAAAATGTCCGCACCCAATTTTCGGAACATTTCCAAATGAGTTAATGTCTGTAAACACATGATGACAGAACTGGCAGAGCTCAAGTCGATTAAACCCAGGAAGCATTTTTTTGCTTTGGATAATTGCATCACCTTTGACCCCCCCAACAACAACGACAACAAACGAGGACTCTGATAATTTAATATTTAAATGATTTGACAAAGTCTTTCTTGTTTTGTAAGATGCACGAATGAAATCATCGGAAACAACTTGAAGTGACATGTGCGGAGCTGGAAGGACTTTTAAACAACAGAAATGTAAATCAACATGTGAGAATTAACAATAAAAGCTTATTTAAGATAAATGTTTTGTAAAGATCAAAGTTTAACGTGCAGGAAAATCAATACATTTTAATATTTCAATGCAAGGAGTCTGCCCCCTTAATTGAATGATTATGATAATTTAATTAATCTAATATATTTGAGAAAATCCTCTCAGCTTAAAAAAGTTACACAGGCTGAGTTAATGACAGTTTACTCCATATTGTCTGCAGCACTAATTACATCTCCTCCTTGTGTTTGCATTGTCTGTGTGTGTGTGTGTGTGTGTGTGTGTGTGTGTGTGTGTGTGTGTGTGTGTGTGTGTGTGTGTGTGTGTGTTAACAGAGACAATGTGATTATAACCCTTCCTCCAGGGTGAACATTTTAAACAAACACCTATAGAATGAGTCGTGGATTGACTTCTTCCCCATCCCCGCCCAGGCTGGGGGAGTGTCCTCGCTGCCCCTGTATAAAAACAAACACACCCTCCATCCATAGAGCATTCAGACAGAGAGAGAGAAAGAGAAAGAGAGAGACAGAAAGAGAGGGAAAGAGAGAGAGAGAGACTGACAGAATCACAGTGTGTGTGGAAGATCCACCATCACCTCTCTGCGCTCTAATATGACTCCAGCAGCTTCTCTGGGTTAAAGCGCGAGGACGCCGTGCGTAAAAGACGACCACGATGGAGCGGTGCATGGTCCCGGGATGGTGCGTGCTGTTGACCCTGGTCTGGCACGGGACGCACTGCATGGCGGCCAAGGAGCTCCAGTGCCAGGAGATATCCGTGCCTCTGTGCAAGGGCATCGGCTACAATCACACCTACATGCCCAACCAGTTCAACCACGACACGCAGGACGAAGCCGGCCTGGAGGTGCACCAGTTCTGGCCGCTGGTGGAGATCAAGTGTTCCCCGGACCTGCGCTTCTTCCTGTGCAGCATGTACACGCCGATCTGCCTGGAAGACTACAAGAAGCCGCTGCCGCCGTGCAGGAGCGTGTGTGAGCGGGCCAAAGCTGGCTGCGCACCGCTCATGAGGCAGTACGGATTCCCGTGGCCGGACCGGATGAGGTGCGAGCTGCTGCCCGAGCAGGGAGACCAGGACACGCTGTGCATGGACTACAACCGGAGCGTGACCACGACTGCCTCCCCGGTGGTGGTGAAGCCGACCAACCGGCCCCTGAAGCCGTTCAACCCCAGAAAAAAGAGCGGCTATGGTCGCGGCATCCCCGGGAAACTCAAACCGGCAGCTCCACCGTGCGAGACGGGCTGTTTCTGCCGTGCGCCCATGGTGCCGGTGACCAGCGACAACCACCCGCTGCACAACCGCGTCAAGACGGGACAGATCCTGAACTGCGCCATGCCGTGCCACAACCCCTACTTCACCCAGGAGGAGAGGACTTTCACCGCCTTCTGGATCGGGCTGTGGTCCATCCTGTGCTTCATCTCCACTTTCGCCACCGTGGCGACTTTTCTCATCGACATGGAGAGGTTCAAGTACCCGGAGCGCCCCATCATATTCCTCTCCGCCTGCTACATGTTCGTGTCAGTCGGATACATCGTGAGACTGATCGCCGGACACGAGGAAGTGGCGTGCAACCGAGAGAACGGCGCGGAACACATCCACTATGAAACCACGGGTCCAGCGCTCTGCACCATCGTGTTCCTGCTCATCTACTTCTTCGGCATGGCCAGTTCCATCTGGTGGGTGATTCTCTCCCTCACCTGGTTCCTCGCCGCAGGGATGAAGTGGGGGAACGAGGCTATAGCCAGTTACGCACAGTACTTCCATCTGGCCGCCTGGCTCATCCCCAGCATGAAGTCCATAGCGGTTCTGGCTCTGAGTTCCGTGGACGGGGACTCTGTGGCTGGGATCTGCTACGTGGGAAACCAGAACCTGGATAACCTGCGGGGGTTCGTGTTGGCACCGCTGGTTATCTACCTGTTCATCGGCACCATGTTCCTGCTGGCCGGCTTCGTGTCACTCTTCCGGATCAGGAGCGTAATCAAGCAAGGGGGGACCAAGACTGACAAGCTGGAGCGGCTGATGATCCGGATCGGAGTGTTCACGGTTCTGTACACGGTCCCGGCCACTGTCATCGTGGCGTGTTACTTTTACGAGCAGCACAACCAGCAGACGTGGGAGATTACGCACAACTGTACGTGTAAGACGGACCCGAGCAGGCAGAAGCCGGACTACGCTGTGTTCATGCTGAAATACTTCATGTGTCTCCTGGTGGGCATCACCTCGGGGGCCTGGGTCTGGTCCGGGAAGACGCTGGACTCCTGGAGGACTTTCTGCACGCGGTGCTGCTGGGGGAGCAAAGCCTCCGCGGGCTCCATGTACAGCGACGTGAGCACGGGACTGACCTGGAGGTCCGGGACGGCGAGCTCCGTCTCCTGCCCCAAACAAATGCCTCTGTCTCGGGTTTGATTGCATCTTTTACCCCTTGTCACGGAAAAAAGAAAAAACTATAGAACCAGCGGATACCAGCTCTTTTTTGGAGGGGGGGGGGGGACTGATTTTAAAAGTTTTTATTTGTTAAATTATTACACGTGAGTCACCAAACATGCCAGGTTTCATGGGATCCTGGTCGTGAGCACTCCTGATGTGAACTCTGCTTCTGAAAGTTTTAAAATCAGGTTGGGGAAGTGCTCGTCCTTTGCCTTATCCAAATGACGTCCTTATGTTTGAATAGAGGGGGGGGGGGGGGGTTGACTAATTGTGTTGGGATTGTCCATCAGCGTGTTGTAATTAGCTCATTAATGAAAGCCTAATGGCTTCTCCTTAAATAATGGGGCTGTGAGCTGCAGAACAATGTACCTGGCACTAAGAATGCAGAGCCTCATCTGAGCTTAATTGAATGCGCACAGCTGACAAGATCCCTTTTGTCGATAGGCTACATGGTGAAGCTGAAGCTCTTCTCACTGTAAAGAAAGAACCGCTGTGTCTTAAAACACAAACTCCACAGTTTCTCTGCTCTGGATCCAAACCGGAGCCACGTTCTGTCTCTCCACACGTACACTAATCAATGCCTTAATACTGTCTCATATACGGGTTGCATCAGCGCGTAAAGTGTATTTATATAATTATTGGTGTACATAGATTGTACATTTTGTATATGGAAATTTATGAGATTGTAAATATGTATAATTCCACTTTGATAGAAGATTTTATTTTGAGAATAAAACAAGTTTTTATGGAATTCTTTTCACCTGGTGCGTCCTGGTCATTGTCGACAAAACTTGTGTCCTGGTAAAAAACTATTTGTTGTGCCAGAGCGCACAGTCCTGGGGGGTGGTGGGGGATTTTAAAGCTTCTGGCAGAGATGGATTCATTTATATGTAACTCAGAGTTGTAGCTGGCCTGTTGGGCCACATGTGAGATAGTTAAGCTCCTGTAAACCTCCGCTGAGTTGCAGGTTCTCACGCTGAGAGACGCGGGGAACAACATCATCATGGCAATGGAGACACCACAGGTGGTCCTCTCAGTTTAATGCTCCCTGGGCTCCAGGCTCCTGTCCTTTCTTAAAACCCCTGATCCGAGCTAAACGTGTCACATTTAACATACAATAAAGTGAATTAACTTCACCAGGTCTGCAACTGCATCCTGGTTTTCCTACTTTTTGGAACATGTGCATCAGGAGGGAGATTTTTCCTTCATCTTATTCATCCAGTTTGTCACAAGAACTTGGAAGAAACAACTCAAACATTTAGATTCTCTATAATTTAAACATGCAGCAATTTAAATGTCGTTAAATACTTGTAACTTGACTTGTAGGTTGGCAGCTCAGGTTCCTCGAGGTACAATCGCCTGAGTCTCATCATTAAGACATCAGCGAGGATGTGCACACTTGTAACTGCAGACTGACACAACGTCTGTCGTGTTTAAAGTTAATTACCGTAGTGTGTCTGTGTGTGTGTGTGGTCTGTTTATCCAGGGAAAGGTCCGTGCGTAATGGCTGCTAGGGCGCATGAGAAGGGTCTAGTTTTTTTTTTTGCCTCCAGTGTGAGAAAATACTGCTTCTCTTCAAAATGTTTAAAAACCACTGCACAGTGTGTTTAAATCATCTATAAACTCAGAGGACACGAGACAGAAAAGCCAACGAGCTCCTCTGGAGAAGAGTCTGGATACGGTTATATTCTGCTGCCCCCTTGTGGTCAAACGGCCATAAAGCAGAAACGACTGATCCAGCTAATCTTCACATTTTGCTTAATAAAAAAAGTAAATTTTTTAAAAACAAGATACAAAGTTCACCTGTTTCTGACGCACATTTATGTCCTGAAACTCTTAAATGTTTAATTTAAAATTTACCTTAAATGCACTTAAGCATCTGAAGTAAAGAAATCATGTCCACGGCTGTTGTTCAAACACTCTCAACTGCAGCTGAAGTTAACATGTGAAGAGTTCAGACCTGATGGAGGGTCACAGTTTAAGAAGTCAAATACTGATTGTCAGAGAATCTACTCGTGTATCTTCCCGACTTCAGCATTGAAACAAGGGAACAAGATTGAGGCCCAGTTCAGACCTGGTATTGACACCCGGCCCCAGAATGATGTTTTAGAAATCATTATCTGTGGCCAACAACAAATCAATACAAGGGCGGAGGATTGTAAAGGTATATTTGATTCTTTGTGAAACTATATCGGGTCAGGAGACGTCAGCTGGACAATAAAACAAGAATTTTCACAACATTACTTTATTATTATTATTACAACCGTTCCTTTTACTCAGTAAATCATCGAGGGGTGGCCCTCATTTGAAATGTAATCAAGTTAAACAACTCAGGGGCAAAAGAATAAATAATGTCACGATTTACCTCCAAAAAGCCGAACTGTGACAACTTTGACCAAATATGTCTCCGTCAATTATCATCATCAATCATCAGATGAGGAGACGGCAGGTCCTGTTTACTTATTTCAATGAGAACAAATTGCTCTGCACTGCTTGTTAACCATGAGACAGCTTTACTTCCTCTACCCGTGTGTGTGTGTGTGTGTGTGTGTGTGTGTGTGTTTGTGTGTGTGTGTGTGTGTGTGTGTGTGTGTGGCATGCTCCCTCAAGCCCCAAAGCCAAAATCAACAGAGGAAATGGGTTGAGAGGTCGAGGCTGATTCATCTCCTCCTAACGTAAACAAGACACTGACTTCAGGAAGAGCTCGACGCTCAGAGATGCTGGAGGTGAAGAGCGACTCCTCTTCATCGGCTCTGTGAATCCAGCCTCTGTGTAATGAGCTGCTTGGTCTCTGATTGGTTTGTTCTGACGCACACACACTGTGAAAGGTCACACAGCAGCGGGGAGCTTTCGATTTCAGAATGTGGACAAAGATGTGCGGGAAGCGTTTTCTACTTTCAGTAACAATAAGAATGAATCAGTCGTCGTTCAGAGACAGATCTGTCTGATGGACAGATGGATACTAACGTCAGACTCCTGCAGCTCATAGAATAAAAGTCATCAGTCAGAAAGGTTCGTCCTCTGTAAGTCTCCCACTCAGCTTTTCAGGCTTTGCTCTATATTTTCAGATTTGCCTCATATTTGACAGTTTAATCTGGATTATGTCGACCACCTCTGCTGCAGACTGAAACCAGAATAACACACAGTCGAGCCTCAGATTGGGCAGATTCAGGAAAGATGGTATTGAGTTGCATCATGTTACATTAATTATAGGATTTTAATCATACTTGGGACTAAAAAGACGAATATCTCTTTGTCTTCTTAAGAGTTTATGACTTTGTGTTGGTTGATAATTGTATAAAAAAGAATTATTTTGTTTTAAAACTGATAGAAACAAGACTTGGTCGGCATTTGTGAACGTAGATATTCAAGAGCAGCTTATCATTTGTCAGCCGCTCTATAAATCTTCAGTCAGAAAGTCAAAGCAAAGACGAGACCTGGATCAATCGTCTGTTATTAGCACCAAGGGAGGATGAATGGATTTTGTTTCCAGAGTCGTACCCATCAAGGAGAAACTCATCTATACCACCTCAAAGGTGAAGAGGATGCTGGGTAGTCAATATTTGCGATGCCCTCTCTCTGATGTGGTCACTGTTGAGAGCGTCTCAGTCTCGTCTGTCTCAGTCGGTGTGTTGTTGCAGGCGGCCGCAGAGTTAACTTCAGTGGATCGACTCCTGATCAGTTATAACATTACAAACAATTTTTTAACCCTGACAACTTTTTAAATGATCATTTCAAACTTTATACTCTCAGGTGCTGATGTGTTTATTTGATAGGAACAGTGTTTGTTAATCCACAGAAAAAGATTGTAAAGAAACCAGAGGTAGAGCTGTCGGCTAATTTTTTATATATTCTGAATCTGGCAGTTTATCAGATCAGTTTAAATCATTTTAGCAGTAACTCAAATTACTTTTTCACAGTTCTATTGTGTTTTAAGTCATATTATAGCATATTATAGAACTAGATTATGTTTCAGGCATAAACAAATGTGTTTTTATTATATTCTATCATTACAAACTCATAAAAAATATATTTTTCACCTGTCACTCTCATGTTCTTTTCTCTACTGCATTACTCAGAACTGGCCACTAGATGTCAGTAAAAGCAGCACTATGCTCAGGACATGTGAAAGTAATGTGGCCAAATGTATGTGGACAGGCTTTTGTAGATTTATGGATGCATGGAGCCCTGACCTCGAACCCATTAAATATGAGTAGGATGAACTGAAACGCCGACTGTGACCAGCCGGCTATCACACAGCACCAGCATCTGACCTCACCAAGCAGCGCCCTGCAGCCGGGTCACTAAAAACTGTGACCAGCCTCCGGAGAAGATGTGGAGACGGTTCCATCAGCTGAGATATGAGATGTGCAGTTATCGCACTCGGCTGTAATGTGGCGTCCGCACACTTTTGGCCATGCAGGTCCTCTATATTGAGTTTAAGACGTTGTCAGACATCCTGTTTTGAAGTTGTGTTGTGACCGATGTTATATGATGATACAGATGTGGGACAGAGCAGAGCCTGTGACGTGACGAGAAATTCTTTCTGTGTGAGGGTTTTGTGTTGAAGCATAAATCTGTGGGAGGTCAGCAACACACACACACACACACACACACACACACATACACTGTCACCTTCAGGGACACGTTTATGTGCATGTGTGGGGTCAACAGGTTTGCTTGTGTGACCTTTTGACCTCCACCAGAGACAGTGTGGTCCTTTCTCCGAGCACCCGACTGACCACTGTTCCACCCCCGCTAATGTTTCTGCATGTCGTAGCTGCTCCAAATACCACAGCAGAAGAAGAAGGGGAAGGGTCTGAGGCATGTGTTAGGGTCATGGCTGCACTGGCGGTATTGTGCACAGGGGTTGTGCTGTTAAAATGTTATATTCCAGTAATTGCGGATGAGTTTGTTGCTGCTGGAGCGATGTTTGTCAAGAAAGAGAAAATAATGAATCCAAATATTAAAGGAAAGAACTTCCCTTCTTTGCTGTTTGGTTCCGAACCCTCAAAAGGTTTTGTATTTTATTAACCACGGGGTCAAATGTGACTGTGATCGTTCACCAGCTTCTGTATCAAACCTTAGAACAAGTTGATGTTGAGCGATGGTGGCGAGGAGGGTTGAAGGACTGGGGTCATGCGAGCAGGTTCGGCTCGGGTCGGGTCACGGCGGGGTTGTGGGGTGCTCGTGTGAGGTGTCGGAGGTCAGGTCAGTGTGTCTGTTGTGGCTGCCAGCGCCCGGTGATCCAGACAACAGCTGAGCGCCGTAACTTCGGCCGCATCAAGGTCAGACACTGTTTGTTTGAGCGTCTCGTGTTCTCACGGCAAAACAATTGTGTGGAGCGTCCAGAAGAAGAACTATGGGAAGCAGTTTTACTAAACGAGTTAAATCTGAGCAGTTCACTTTATTATCAAACATTCAGAAACAACATGCGTCCAAAAACTACACTTTAATCTTGTTTCGCGAAACCAGGATTTTGACAGAATTGTAACGACACCTGTTTGAACGAACCCTTGACACCTCTCTCCAATTTTTTACATCGTAACAAAGAGCAAAGCCGGAGAAGAAGGAGTGAGAGACGTATTTATTCACGTTAATCATAAATCAGTTTTGGTGAAAGTGTGAGAGATGAACACGTTCACATTAGAAGCTGATTGTAAAAGTATGTTAATTGATTTAATTGATAGCAGCCAGACAAAATTAGCTAAAGAGTATAAAGCTTTGTGGGTCGATGTCGGCATCGGCAAAACCTTTCACGCCATACTCATATATATATAAAAAATATTAATCAGTGCAGCTACAATTTCTAACGATTCTTCCTTTACAGGTCAAAAATCTTAATTGTGCTTCAGATAATAGTTAAAGCTCATTTCCTGGGCCAGTCACACCCACGCCCTCTTGTCCTGGGACTCGCTGCTGTCAGACTGTTGGCTTGAGTTCATTTCGGCCGGGCTGCTCTGGCACTGCAGCTGTTTGACACCCATCGGTGGCACCCTGGGGCTCAGCGGCCCCCTGTCTGGGCGGGGGGAAAGCGGAGGTCTCAGGTGGGTGTGGAGGACAAAGGGACTTGGCACAGGATTGCTCATAGGAGTAGGTGAACGAGGCATGTCCGCCTTAGTGTCTTTGTCATCTGGGCTCTTCTCATTGGTCGATACACTAGTTTTACGGGTCGGCCCGCCATTCGTTATTGTTGAGAGGAGTTCACCATTTGACACAACACCAGCGGCCTGATTTTCATCCTTGTCGGCCTCCGTTGAGCGTCCACTCGGGCTGATTCTTCTGGTTGGAAGAACGTCGTTGTCTTCAGCCATGGTTGTCGTTGTGAACATGCTGCTTTGCTCTCCTTTACTCATCTCCTCCATCAGCATCTTCTTCGTCCTCCTCCATCGCACCATTGCCTTCATGGAGCTCACCAGGTCGACCAAACTGAGCAGAACGGACAGGGAGGAAACACCCAGCATGAAGTTCAGCATCAAGGTCTTTTCTGTGGGTCTGGAGATGTAGCATTCGACCCCGGATGTGCAGGGAGCCTCGTAACAGAGGAAGCTCTTTGGAACCGACAATCCAAAGAGAAAAAACTGGACCGCTCCGAATACCACCTCGAGAAGGATTCGCAGAATAACAGCGAAGAAGTAAGCGCAGTAGAAACGTGGCGCTCCCCATTCACGAGGGAGGTCATGAAGAGGAGCTTTATGCAGGGACAGTTCTCCGGAGGAGCTGGAGTTCTCGAGTGAGGCTCCTCGACTCCTGTCGCTGCAGGAGGCTCCAGAGTGAGGATGTGACAACAGTCTGTGCACGACGTGGGTTGCAAACAGCACATTTGGCAGACAGAGAAGAATGAGGTGGAAGAACCAGAGACGGAGGACGGACATGGGAGAAAATGCATCAAAACACACATTGGAGCAGCCTGGTTGGATGGTGTTACAGATGAATCTCTCCTGCTCGTCGCTGAAGAGAGTGAAACCGGCCAGCAGGACGGAGAGAGCACGTAGAACCAGCATCAGCACCCACCAGGTTTTGCCTGAAATAGAAAAGCGACGATCAAGTAACAAACAATATAATGAGGTCAGTGATAATGTCTCGTAATCTACTGGTTTTTCAAGACGTGTGAAAACCTTGAAAGAAAGTAATAAACGTAAATAAGGAAGAAGTATCATGATGCTGAATATAACACAACTGGCAAAATGGGTAAAAGGAAATTTATGTTATAAAACTGGAAAAATTTAGAGTAAACCTTGTTTGTGCAGCAGCTTTCAAACAAGAATATATTCATGTAAAACTACTCACAAAATTCAGAATACACTGAATTTTGAAGCTATTATATCTTTTTATTATACCAAAATCAAATCAGCTCTGTCTTTTCCTGCCCTTGAAAAAAATGTTATTCATGCATTTGTCGTCTCACGTCTGGACGTCTGCAAACGATATGATACGACTGCAGACGTACTATTCAATCAGTGAGCCAGTTAAATTTAGGATTGATTTTAAGATTCTTTAAATAACTTTCAAAGGGACCAGGTTATATTACAGAGCGACTAACTCCCTGTGCTCCGAGACGTAAACTAAGATCCAACCAACACTAGTATAGTTAAAATCATCTGATTTTAAATTGTTGTTTAAATCATGTTTTTGGAGGGAAAGACGGATTTAAACTGGTTTTAATGGATGTCATTTGTTTTTAATACTTGTTTTATTCCCTTGTTTAGATAAGTGCTATAGAAGTAAACCTTTATTATTCTGAATTAGACACAAATATAAAATGACTAACAACACAGTAGAAACGTAAGGGATGAAATAACATCACTACTATTTAATAAGAGCGGTCAAACAGAATATATCTCACCGATGAAGGACACATTATGGCTGATGGTGATGAAGAGAAGATCCGTTGTTCTCATCATCCTCCTTGTTCAGAAGTGTTGGAGAATTTAAATGGACGTGCTGCTGCGTTGTTGCCCACTTCTCCGCTGGTCCAAACGTACTCTCCACTGAACACAGTCACCTCTAACGCTCTGTCCCCGCCTGCAGAGGCCAGGACCTGTGCAGGGAGCTATTCTTACCAGGCGACCGCCGGAGCATTGTTGGGATGTCAAGGTGCCGGTCAAACTCACAGGAAGCTGCACAACCATCAAGTTAAGCTCCACAGATAAATGTTGTGTCATAAGTCATAATACTGAGATATTAGGTCATAATAATAAGAGGTTAAGTCATAATAATGAGATATTAAATCATATTAATGATAAACTAAGTCACAATAATGAGATATTAAATCATAATAATGGTAAACTAAGTCATAATGATGATAAACTAAGTCATAATAATGAGATATTAGGTCATAATAATAAGAGATTAAGTCATAATAATGATAAAATAAGCCATAATAATGAGATATTAAGTCTTAATAATGATACACTAAGTCACAATAATGAGATATTGAGTCATATTAATGATAAACTAAGTCATATTAATGATAAACTAAGTCTTAATAATAAGATATTAAATCATATTAATGATAAACTAAGTCTTAATAATGATAAACTAAGTCATAATAATGAGATATTAAGTCTTAATAATGATAAACTTAGTCATAATAATAAGATATTAAGTCTTAATAATGAGATATTAAATAATATTAATGATAAACTAAGTCATAATAGTGAGATATTAAGTCCTAATAATGATAAACTAAGTCATAATAATGAGATATTAAGTCWTAATAATGAKAWAYTWAGTCATAATAATRAKAWAYTAAGTCWTAATAATRAGATATTAAATMATATTAATGATAAACTAAGTCATAATARTGAGATATTAAGTCMTAATAATGATAAACTAAGTCATAATAATGAGATATTAAGTCATAATAATGAGATATTAAGTCATAATAATGATAAACTAAGTCATAATAATAAGATATTAAATCATATTAATGATAAACTAAGTCTTAATAATGATATTTTGAGAACGTGTCTTATTATAATGACACATATTATAATGACAGGATGTTTATTTGTCTTCTCAGAGGTGAACATCAGTGAGATATAATAAATATAATAAAATCCTCTGCTGGTCACGTGTGCAGTATTTTTATAGTGCAGCAGACCCGGAAGTTGCAGGTTGTGACGGAGGACAGCAGCAGACACGTGGTTTCGATCAGCAGATAAATTGCGGCTCGGCTCCATTAACTCTCTCTCTCTCTTCCTCGTTGCGGTGACGGAGGTCGAGCGTGTTTCTGCGGAGGAGTCGAACATGTTCTGTTCGTCTTCGATCAGCGGCCCTCAGGTTCGTGTCACATGTGATTGGTGTGTGTCTGTGTGTGTGTTAAGTGTGTGTTTGTTGTGGTTGTTGCTCTGATCTCCATTGTTCGCCTCCACGCTTCAGACCTCGTGGTTGTTTCACTCATGAGAAGTAAAACTGCGTCTGAGTGAGGGAACATTTCTAATAATCAGATTATCTTTATTATTATTATCATCTCTACCGAGGCTCACGTGTTGTGGTTTGAATCTGGTTTTGTTATTAAGATAATTTTAAATGATTTACATGTTTCAGTGTTTCCTGGAGGGAGCAGGTCACTGAGCTGAAACACAAGCTTGACCCTTTTCTTCTAAACCCCTGGTTTCATCCCAAACATCGCATCCCACGTGTTTCTCCGTTTAGTGAGTGGTCCTGTTTAGTTTTAATCTAAATTTGATTGATTGGTTCACACGTGCGTCACTAACTGGTTACATCAGCTCATTTCCTCCCTGGTCTTATTTGGAGCTGTGACCCAAACGTAAAAAATTAAGTAGGAACTTTACAATACTTGTACTTAACTGAAATACAGAACCTTGTAAGTGAGCACAGCACCCGAGTAAATGAACTCTCCTCAACCATTTAGCTCAGTCAAACTCCAATGATGATCTGCAGTCCGTGTTTCACCTGAAGCTCATGATTATACTCTTTACTGCACTGATGGGTTTGACGGAACAGATGCTGCCCGTGTTTTATTTTCGTTGCACGTTGAGACTAACGGAGCTCATTTTGTTTTTATGATTTCAGAGCCCCGACCTGGACGAGCTGATGAGATGAGGTCAGTACCGGTGGTCGTCTTCTACAGTTTAACGACGCGTGAAGTCGAACATGATTCTAAGACCTGCTGCATGTTATGTTGGTGTACAAGGATCACAAGAGCTGCCCTCTGTCATTTCTTTAAATTCAGACCTTTCTTGACTAAATAGAATTTGACACCCTTTTAAAATCAGTTTAATAATTTCTCCTGTTCTTCTTACAGGTAATGGGAACGATGATAAATGCCGGATCGCCTCGGTTTTCTGTTTTGTAATTTAAAGGTGAAACTAAGCTAAATATTTCTACTGTCCCAGTTGTAGTTCAACATATACTTGTAATTTTGTATAAACTGTGCCGTTGCTCTCAAATAAAGAAAAGTGTGTTAAACTGCAGTGTTTTCATTTAATTTGCAGCTCACAGGTCGTAAAGTGGAGATCAAGTTTGCCGACGGTATAAATCTATTTAGCGGGAAACTTTGTGACATCCAGAGCTGGACATCTGGTGACAGACGTGTATACAACGATATAAGAAATGATCTCAAACCAGTAAAAAAGAAATGTTTATTCACATGATGTATCCTGGTAATTGGGGTATGAACAAGTCATGCTTCAGTGCTTTTTAAAGATGAACAAAAGAAGTGCAAGATTACGTTACGAAAAGTAACGTGAAACCAAAGCGTGCCGTTAAAAAGATGAAAGTCATGGTAAATAAAATGCGAGATTTAAAAACTAAATGCTTGCCCCTGTGAAGTTTCCCATTATTTTGAATCTTACCAGATCTAATTAATACTGATTTCTTTAGTGAGCTGTGATGAACTCAACTCACAAGTGGTTCAATGATCTCTGGTCTAAAACAAACATGCAGCACTGAGCCAGCAAATAAAGTTTTCATTCATTTGTTCATAACTAAAGCAGCGGTGGAGGCTGCAGCATAAACAAATTATGATATAGTAAAACCCAGTAAAATAAAATGTCTGGAAATATTATTGCTGCACAAAACAGTTTTCTAAACCATTCATGAAATATTTAAGATTAACAGAGGGTCCTGAAGAAAAGGTCTTAGTGAAGTTAAGAATTTGTTGTCACATTGCATTTTCTCCCTCAAGTGCATCAGCAAATTGTACGTTCTAGCTATCATATATATATATTTATAACATTATAGAAAATTATACTCTAACTGCCACAAAATGTAAAAATAAACAATACAAATTAAACACGATTCTTAAGATTCAACACATTCTATCTACAAAACAACGATACCTGTTCATTTGGAATCTAGTGTATAAACACAGTTTTGAGTCTCGACCTCATTTTTCTTCCCCGATTGGTCCGACGTCACTCCCTCGAACAGCTTCGCCATGAAGGTGAAGCCGTTCTTCTTGATGTAGGACTTCCCAGCGAAGGTGTAGAGGACGGGGTTGGCACAGCTGCTGATGAAGGCCAACGCTGAAGTGACGGCTCGACTCGACTGAGTGATGTGGTCCAATCTGCAAACACACACACAGATTAATACACACGTTAATAACCTCACACTGTTATTAGTCTTTTTTAGTTCTGTCGTGACGACTGAACAAACAAATACTCACATCTCTCTTGTGGGTGAATCCTCTGGGTACCACTGAGCTGCCACCTTGAACAAAACAAAACGCCGAGTTCATTCAATCCCTGCTTGAGAGGCAGAAACGTGATTCTCACGTGATAAAGCGAACTCACTCACCTGCAGCATGTTGATGACGTGGTACGGCAGCCAGAAAGCGCCGAACATCACCACGATGGCCAGGATGAGTTTCTCGCTGCGGATCTTCCTCTGGAACTTGGTCTGCCTCAGGCGCCGCAGGATGAGAACATAGCAGGTTATGATGATGGCGTAAGGAAGAATGAATCCTGTCACCGTCTCAAAGGCGTACTGAAAACGCACCTACACACAGAGGACGGAAAAAAAAAAGTGATGGTCACCTGGGATTCAGCAGACATGAATGAATCAGTCAAAACAAGGTGGAACAAGACGAAAGGAGTTTCCAGCTCCTCGGTTCAGAGGGTTTGCTGCTTCTGAAAACTCGAAATCTTCTATTCAGACAAAACAGTGGAAGATTAAATTCTTCTGACATGTTCTGATCATCCCAACACAGGAGGAGACTATTTGTTCTGCAGTTCGGAATTCACACATATCTGTGTGTTTCCACCAAACCGGAGCAGTAACCGGTAACACAATATCCTTGAGGTAATACCTTCAATTAGATTTTGAGGGTCGAATGTCAAAGGTCAAGGTCACTGTGACTTTGTGAAACGTCCTCCTGCTTCGTGAACGTGTCATCTTCGCAACACAACAAGAGAATCATGGCACAATTGGCACAAATTTCCAGACCTCAGACTGAAACTGTTGCGGTGCTGGCGGAGGCACAACCGCAGGAGGGATGATCTAGTTTTCTGTCTCTTACATGGCAGCAGACCAAGTTGCACATCTCTGCACCAGATTCAATTACATCGTGCAGATGCTCTTTGCTCAGAGGAATTTCTTGACTGAGCTCTTTGTCCGTTCTGAGCCTTTGGTTTTTGGAAACTGTTTAGGGTTTCTGAGCTAACAACTAAAATGGTGCTGAGTAGCGTATGCAGTCCTCCACCGAGGCCCCGTCCTGTCATGTTTAAGAAAGTGATAAAACACTTCCTGGATCTGCCTCTTCGTCTGGATCCATGCCAAAAATGTTTTCCACTAAAGACGCCTGAATCCTCATGTGGATCCTCAGAGAAGTGAACACACTCAGAGATATCAGTCCCCTGAAGATGCCTGAATTTCTTTCTATCAAGATCCATAAATCAGTTTCTGGGAAAATGTGCAATTTTTAAGAAAAGTGATTTAAAACAAAATTCAAAGGGTTCTTTCTCGGCCTGCAGACACGGGTGAAAACATGTCCTCCCTGTTGGAGGTAAATTTAACTGTTAGCAGCAGGTCTTTCTTTACTTACATGTCGAGGAAGGGTGTGATTGGGCGCACAAACCCTTCTCGTTGTGTTCCTCTCGTTATTGTCTTCTCTTACGTCCCGAAACACCAGCGAGGGAAGGGCAATGAGCAGCACCATCACCCACATGGTCACGATCACCCTCCTCACAATCTTCTTGCTGGCCACGGAGGGCAGTTTCATCGGAAACACCACCGCCACCATCCTGTGCACGCTCATCAGCGTGATCAGGAAGATGGACGCGTACATGTTGGAGTTGCACAGGTAGAACAGGCCTTTGCACAACGCGTTACCGAAGACCCACGTCTGCTTGGCCAGGTAGACGATGAAGAAGATGGTGAGGATCATGAGGAAGCCGTCGGCACACGCCAGGTTGAGGATGAGGATGGTGGTGACTGAGCGTTGTCGGATGCGCGCCAGGATGCTCCAGACGATGAAGAAGTTGCCGGGGACGCCCAGGAGGCAGACCAGGCCGAGGATGATGGCACCGAAGGACGTGGAGAAGTCATTGCTCACGACGCTGTCGTCCTCAAGGTTCGAGTCTCCCACAGCTGGACCAGTCTGATTGTTACTCATGATGGAAGAGTTTTGATCCTGAGGACGAGAGACAACATGTTCATCTGTAGTTGCCAGTTTTACCGCAGTACTGTCGGATTACTTTACTTCGGTACTTATCTGATGAGGGAGCATTAATAAAAGGTTTATGAGCTGGGACACTTTTTTTGTTCTGGGCAACATTTTGCAGCAGTAGATGACGAAAACATTTGTTTGCGAGATGTGCTCGAGTGATTTAGAGACGGAGGGTGTCTCGTCCTGACTCAGCCTCTAAAGTATTCACACCCTGTAGCAAACTGTGCAGCTCAGTGGACGAGGCAGCGTGCTAAAACATGTACGAGAGCAGGATTTCAACACAGTCGTTCTTTGCCCTCGAGACGTCTGCTTATTGGAGGTTTCACAATTATTCATGAAAGAAAAAATGAAAGTACAAGAAAGGAATGTGACAGAACATTTCTAAATGCATTGTCTCTTGTCGATTTCTAGGTACATGTTTATATTTGCACAAAGTCTGGGTTTCACCACCATCCATGGGTTTCTGAACTATACGAGTAAAAAGTGTCCACACTGAACTTGAATGACAATCTGTTGAGTTCACACCTTCACAGAGGCCCGAGAGACCCTCTGAATTCAATCAAGCTGCCCCACGTTGCACACACTCTTAGATATCAGTCCTCTGAATCCAATGAGTCCTGATCCATGAGTTATATTCCCTCGGGAAAAAACACACCCTCTAAACACGCAAACTCAAAGATCATACACCCGCTCCCTGATGCAGATCCGGACCGAACATTAATTGCTTTGTCCTGGACAGACGCCACATCCTTCCACCAGGTTTGGTGGGAAACTTTTCAGTATGATCTTCCTTAAATAACAGATAAACAACAAACAAATAAACATCCAGAGTGAAAACACAACCTCTTTTGTTTGGGTGATAAGATTTAGTATTAATGTGTGTTTGTTCTTATATATTTTGTAACTGTAAGCGTTTTATCACGTCTTACAGGTCGTTCACTGACCAGGAGGTCGTTGGTTCCATCTCTTCCTAACCCCACATTGCAGTCAGGCCGACAGTGTGCGTGATGTATGACGGGGAAAGTGGCTGCACATAGATGTACTGTTTGAGCAAAACTGTACATTAAAACACTAGAATTAGAAAAGCACAGAACATTGACCCGGTTAAGAGAAAATGTAGCCGATCATATCATATTGAGTGTTTCTCGTTGTCTTTCCACTTGAAAACCAGTTCCACAGAACACAGAGGTCACGTCTGTGTGTGTCCCTGATAATATTTAAGATGAGCAATGCAGAGAGGACGTCATCGGTTCTAAAAATGGTCGCTTTCACGTATATCTGCACAAAACAACGTCAAGTCCTTATTTCCTGATTATGCCATAATGTCCTTGCTCTGGTCCCGCTGAAGTCGGCTGTTTATTTTCCCCTGACGGCTTCATATGAGAGTGGACAAGTAAACACAATCAATCAAAGCCTGACTTACAACACAGGCAAGAAATGCAACCGAGAGCTCAGTCATAGCAACGCACTGATGCTGTCCGAGGAAAACACTGTGTCAGAAAAAATTCAAAGATCTTTCCAATCAAGATACGTCTACACAATCGGTCAGGAGATGAAAAATCGCACAGTTTATGACAGAGCACATATTGTTAAAGCATTTTATTGTATATAACATCGGTAATTTTTAGTTTAGACGAAAAACTCAGAAAAATAAACGCAACAGAAACTGAGAAATAGAAATACAGACAAAGTATTTTCACTGGAAACTGCCGCCAAGCTGTTTTTGATGATTTAGAGCAATTAGTCAGCTACAAAACAAAACTGGACGAGACCACAACTCTGCGAAACACTCGCTCCTGCCAGGACAGCGATGGCAGTGGATTAGCTCACAGTCCACAGGTATTCAAATGACGAGTCACGGGTTTGTAATAAATCTGCCATATGTAAATAATCACGTCCAGAAAAGTAAATTATTGTTCTGAGATGGAAAAAGAGAGAAGGGGAGAAGAGGAGGGAGGAAAAGATGTGAGTGAAATCTCGCAGAGAAAACGAAGACAAATAAATGAGTTGAGAGTTTTCAAGTTTAAGAATGACCGACCTGAGCGCGATGTCTGTCTTCTTTGGTTTGTGTGAGATTTAAATATCCAGATGTCGCTCTGTCCGTCTCTCACAGCGTCTGTTATCTCAGTCCATAATAAAGTGAATCATGTCCTGTGTCACAGGCTGCAACATGCTGCCTGTGGGTGAGGGAGGGACAGAGGTGTGTCCTCTCCCTCTCTGAACTACTCATCTATTGTTGTCCAAATATGAGCTTCCTGTAGAATAAATATCTGCTCTGAAACATATATATGTGTTTTAAATATAATGACCATGTGATGGTCTTTTGTCAATAAACATTGCATCCTTTTTTTTTTGAACGTGTCCCACAATGTCACATAAAGATGGATATTTTTGTCCTGAGGCACTTTTCATTGCGTGAGTCGATCCTTGTTGCGTAACGAGAAGGAGAGGAAAAGTGATTCAGGTGTTTGCACAAGCTCAATTCACAACTGTGTCTTATAGGTGCAGGCGGCATGAGTGTAAACTCGTGTAAACTCGTAAAAACTCACATTCACTCGTTCACACAAGCCTCTGACACTGACAGGAATGTTGGTTTCCTGAAGGAAGTGGAGAAATTAGGAAAAACCCAGAGATTTCACCTTCATCCTCATGTTTGCTGTAAGAATAAAGTGTAAAAACCTTCATCACACACTATCATTAGGTTGAATATTAAATTGCCTCGTATAACATTTTTACATTTGCTTTGCCAAATAAGTTTTTGGGGGAAACAAAAACCTTTTTTATTCCTGAAATACTTCAGATCAATTTATCAAATATTCCTCCGTTCATATGTGTTTGTAAAATGTCTGAACATCAAGCATACACATCATACATTCATCAGGTAACGTTTACCACGATAACAATATTGCATATTCCACATGCACCACAAAATATTAAGATTCAATCAGTCAGTGAAACAAACTACATCCATCTCTGATTCAGATCATCGTCAGAGATCAAGTTAGGAAACATTTCCTCCTCGTGTCCTCTGATGAAAAACAGATCCTGTGTTTTCTTCTCACCACATGAGGGCAACACATCCTCGAGGATCCACATCTCTCTGCTCGCCTCCTCTCGTGAACCTGAGTTCTTCTTCTGTGTTGCACTCATCCATCACATCGCAGCAGTCCTTTTAAACAGTTTACTGGGACGTTCACCGCTGCGGCTTCACAACCTCCACAGGACTCTCCATTTCTAGTACCAGCATGCACTTTGTTTATCAGGTTCAACATCAAGTCCATCCAATAGCAGGAGGTTTCACTGGAACAGTTGCAGCTCCACCTTAAACAACTTAAACTTAAACAACATCATGAAATACTTTTGTACTTGTTTTCCACAAGAACCAGGAAATCACACAACCTTTTCCCACCCCTCTCCTCTAGTGGGCGCTACAGAGCCTCGTGCACCACAGGAAAAGCTTCTATCTGCTTGCAATCAGCCTCACAATCAGCTGACAGGAGCGTCTCAAGAGACTTCAGGGGCCCCTGGGCAAAAGAGACCGGAGGAGCCCAAGTGGACCGAACCATTTCTGTCGCGTTAGCTCTTATCACACTGGCGTTTTGCTCAAGTCTTTTTTTCCTGGAAGTTTGGTTTCAATTGTTCGTGGTTAAAAATCGTCTGAGACTGAATCACGATTGGTCGAGTGCGTGTATCGACGGGGCCTCTGCCCCGCCCCCTTATCGCCACTGTGCAGACTCTGGCGGCCAAATGCACCGGATGGCAGCGTTCGTACGTGTCGGCCATCTTTGTCCTTGGTGCCTGCACACGAATACTAGCAAAGTTTAGGTAAGTATCTGCGTATCTGTGGATATTGGACGGGGATTGTATTTGTATCTGTATATTGTCTGTTCCAGTAGAGCGTCACCATCAGTCAGAACCAGATTCCTGTTTGTGTGCTCACTCGGCCAAATAAACCTGATTCTGATTCTGATGCAGACGAAAGCAGCTAAACCTGAGAGCGAGTCCTGCTCCTCTCACCCTCCATCCTGCCAAAGCCAACACCATTCACACCCAAAGATGTTTTGAAAGCAGAGCGGATGGATCCGACCTCACGTTCAAGTGTGGAAGAGGAAACTTGACTTTTCCAAAACAACCTCGTATATGTCTGCACATACACGACTGCGGGCCGCCAACTTTCTGTCACCTCCAACTTTCTTTGCTATGGTTTGTTCTGACCTATCGCGTAATGGGCTGCAGATGTTTGCGACCGACATGTGCTATTTGTCAGACCACTGTGATTTGAAATATGAAAATTCAAAACAGTGGTTTAATCAAAGTCTCAAAGCGGCAGCGCAGAAATCACCGTTTTATTTAAATACACCGGTGTGACGGTAAACGATGAGGTGTGCTGGAGGGGACGGAGGAGCAAAGATTTAGAAACTGAGCTGTTAATATTTATTTTTAGAAGCTTTTTTCCAATTTGGTGTTTTGACTTTTGTTTTTTTCAGATGTAGATTTCTCTCATAAGCTGCATTTGCATCAACATTAGCTCTGCGTTTAACACTTGGACACGAAGAGACTTAAGTTTAACATCCCTGCTTTACTTGTATCTGCAAATACAAAGTCCTCGGACATCAGAACAACATGGCTGCACACTGCCGCTCCCTGTGGTGCACTATATGAAAATGTACATTCCCTCTCGATCTTATATTACAGTAGGACTGCGGAGGAACCCGGCGAACCTGCAGAAAACCAACGCACAGGTGAATCTACTGAATCTGAGGTTTTCCTATTGTGTTCAAACACAAGAGCTGACAGAAGAAGTTGTGTGAAGTTCAAACCCCGAACGCAAAGTCACAAAACTCTTTAGATCCAACATGTGGGAAGTTCAATGATCCGAGACTTTGTTTGAAGCAAACTGAAACCTTCACGTTCGTGGACGTTAAGTTGTAGGATAATAATCATAACTAACAGCACACTAAAGGCGGAGGGGTGGCCCCCACAAAAAATTGTTTTTTTAACCACCAGCATATCATAATTTAAACATCCTTCACTCCCTGAATAGGTTCTAATCTAATCATGTCATTTTGGGATTTAGTGACGGAGGTGGTGACGGGTTCGTCAAGTCTTGTTTTGGGTTTAAACCCTTGCGTCATCCCGGCTGGTTGCACTTTGTCCTCTCCCCAACCAGACTGTAACATCTTGAGATCAGTCCAGGACCCAGGGCCTGCCCACACAACCCCAGGAGGACGACAGGGAGAGTGAAACAGGCCCCCAGTTACTCTCCAGTACGACGGTTGTGAGAACCAGAGGAGGAAAGGAAGATAGAGGGGGAGAGACGTGAGAAGAGGAGGGGGTGTAGGAGGAGGAATAAGGAGCTGGACTGAGGCGGAGAGAGCCGGAGAGAGAGTGTGTTTATTTAAGTTTTTCGTCTCCTGACTCAGACAGAGAGCAGACTGCAGAGGATAATGAGAAACAGATCTGCGGTGAGGAGAGAAGGAAGGAGGGGAGAGTGAAGAAGAAGGAGGGAAGAGGAGGAGACGAGAGGAAGGAGGAGTGGGGTAAAGGGAAAAAAAAGGGAAAAAGAAGAAGAAGAGAGGGGGAGGCGAGGGAACAGTGACAGACAAAAAAAAGGAGGGTAATGTGTTCATCGCCACAGGAAGTAGACCCTCTTATGTGCACTAACTGACAGTGAACATCACAGCCCCGGCGGCGGCCATGCAGCCGGCCCACAATGGAAGGGTTTAGGGGACGGTGAGCCGCCTGCCATGAGTCCTGCTCATGATTGGAATAATAATCACAGTGTTTTGGGCTTGAAAGTGTCTGATAGTGAGGATGAAGTGGGAACAAACGGGATTCCGGTGAGAAAACACCAGGAAATGATGAGATGATGAAAATAAGGTGAAATTTGGATTTAAAATCAAAAAAAAAAACAGTTTGCAGGAGTTCTGGTGCTTTAAGTAAATGTTAAATTGCTGGAAGTGAAACCTCCACAGTGAGTGAGTGAGGAGGGGGCAGAGGAGCGAGAGAGGGAGAGGAGGAGATGGGGATGAAGAGGGTGGGTGGAGGGGACATGACTGACAGGCTTAAGATCCTATGGGGAATGAGGAACGGACCAACTGGAGCTGGGAAACCCACCCAAAGGCAATTAAGGGTAAAGGACGACAAAAAATATTTGATAAACTTTTTTTTTTTTCCTCCTTCTCTGTCTTGGAAGAGGAGGGAGAAGTTGTATGGGATGACGATGGAGGCAGAAGGGAAGGAAAGGAGCAGATTCCTTGTGGGAAACATGTTGAGAGATGAGACCCTGTGAGCGAAGATTTGGTTTTTGGAAACTGCACGGCATCAAGTCTGGGGGGGAAAAAGTTTCAAAGAGTGAAGGAGAAGTGCTCATCGTGGGGAAGCAGCGTGGATAAGTTTCTTCCAAGAGGACAGATCTTTGCGCAATGACGCGCGCATAGGACAAAGTCTTGGATACTCGTTGTTTTACGCGCAGACGCTTAAAGCCGCAGTTTGAAAGAAGCAGATAAGATTGTGTCAGTGTCTCTGGGTCCTGTCCTTCTGCTGCCGGAAGGCGATGGGGGCCGCGCCGGGCTCTGGCTGGGAGGAGGGCGAGTTCGAGTTCAAGTTGGTGTTCGAGGAGGATCCACCGCCGCGGCAGAGCCAGGGGCCGTCGCCGGTGCGCGCAGCCGAGCCGGAGAGCTCCGGTCCCGCGGAGGAGGCTGAGAGCTCCCTGCTGCGCCTGGAGCCCGACAACAGCAGCAGCAGCCTGGGTTAGACTCAACTCTACCAGAGATGCATGTGTGTGTGTGTGAGAGAGGAAACTTCTGTATGAGTGTGTGTGTTGTATTTGTTGTAATGAGGGCCTTTATCTGGTGTGTGTGTGTGTGTGTTAGGTTAAGTCTAGATTTAGGTTAAGGGTTTAAGTTTAGGTTTAAGTTAAGGTTGAGGTTAGTTTAATTAGTTCACATTAGGTATAGGTTAGGTTTTGGTTTTGATTTGATAATTAGTTAATGTTAAGTATAGGCTAGGTTGAGGTTCAGGTTTAGGGCAAAGTTAGGTTAAGGTTAGGTTTAGGTTAAGATTAGGTTTATCTGAAGGGTTAGATGAAGCATTAGGGTTTAGGTTCATGTCTAGGTTGAGGTT